TGACCTGCCATCTTTTTCTTTCATTAATGATGGATAAATCACCATCTGTGCAATCATTAAATGAGGTTAAGACAGGGTTATCTAAAATAAAAACAAAAGAATAATTTAAAAAATATAAATTTGAACCTGAAGAGGAGTCAATATAAGGTTCAACTCCCTAGAAATAGTGGGAATATCATCAGAAGCTAAAATAGATGCATTCTAAAATATAAAAAAATTTATAAAAATATAGATAAGGCTAACTTTATTTTTGCGTTCTTAGTAGATTTTGTAGGGTCTCACGATCCCTAGCGTTTCATATTTTGATTGACGCCATCTTTTTCTTTTATTAATGACGGATAAATCACCACCTGTACAATCATTAAATGAGGTTAAGACAGGGTATCTAAAATAAAAACAAAAGAATAACTTTAAAAAATAAATGCATTGAACTTGATGAAGAGCAGGGTTGCCATGTCTCCCCCCATCAGCGGGAGACTCCCTCAATTTTTTAGTTTACACGCAGACATCTCTTTCCCAACTACCGCAATTGGAAAATCCCCCGCAAAAATTTACCGCAATTTTTAAATTTCTCCCGCAATTTTAGTATTTTAACGTTTTTAATATATAAATAATAATTTTGAAAGACAGTAGGATTGATTATTTTTATATTAAAATAAATTTTAAATATTTACAAAAAGCATGTCTAATTTGTAAATTTCGATATATCCTGTTTTATTTTTATCCAATAATAAATATACATCATTTCATTCATATAAGTCAGTACAGGGGAATATATCGTATATCAACATCGATAGCAATACAAATATATTCTCCAAAATAATAAATAATACACTATGTGCGGAAAGCATATAAACCTAAAATATAGTTCAACAATCACAGAGCTATATCATCACAATGTTGGTCGAATCTTTTTCCTATATTTAATGACTCCAATATAAGTGCAAACCTTACTTGTGGTAGAACACAAATGAGCAAGACTATCATAAGTATTTTAGTACCTCTAGGTCAATTCTAGACGATTTGAAAGATGGGCATCCATATGCAATTCTAACAGAAGCATCTAATAAAGGAAATATTAAAACATTTCCCTTGAACCTTCGCTATTTCAACAGAATAAGAACATTTCAATAAAACTGTTTAAAAAAATTTCCTCGGATAGTGAAAAATCTAACGATGTAGCTAATCACATAATGTAAATATAGCTGATTCAGGGTTAACAATGAATTGCATGTCAGCTATCTGTGTTGATAATGCCAATGTAAATTTTGGAAAAAACCAAAGTGTATTTACCGAATTCAGGCAGCACAATAATGAATTATTACCAATTGGCTAAATATGCCATATACAACATGATTATTGCAAGAACAATGAATGTACTATCTGTGGATGTCGAAATAATTATGATGAAATGTTGTAACGAGTTTAATTCATCAACTAAAAGAGTTAATGAATTAAAAGAGTTAGTGATCTGACTTGGAATGATGTGAGTTATTGCGATATATACCTATCGTTATCATTAATACCTGTACCGATGGTTTAAAATTTTACAAACCCTTAAAAAAATATTTAAATAAAGATTTTAAAAGCTGTCCTAAAATTTTGAAAAATTTTTTGCATTATGAAATGGCAGAAGCATATTTGGGATTAGTTTCACATGTAGGAAATCTACTTACAGTTAATATTCAGTTGTAATCAGAATTCTTTATTAAAAAAGATTCACAAAATCATGTTACAGCTTGTTCATCTCTACAGTTAAAAATTGATAATATTTTATGGCGCTATTGCTAACAATATTATAACAAAATTTTCAAATAATACTCTAATTATACATTTTTAAATGAAGCAGATCTTTTATTTTTAGAATATTTACAATCAAAATTTGATTTTAATAACTCTATTTACAAATGTATTAATATTTTGACCTTGGAACAGAAACCATCTATTGATGGTTTTTGTAATTAATTTAATAAATATATTAAAAATACCAAAAGACATTGATGTCTTGTTTAAGGAGATTGTAATACTCTCTATTTTTTTGATTAGCCTGAATACTTAAAGTTAGATGGTCTAAAAGCAAAGGAGAAATGGGTTGAATATTTTTGTAATAACAATAAATCCCTATGCTTGGAAACAATATGCGATATATCTTCTGCCTCATTCTAATGCCTCATCCGAGCTCATTTTTAGATGAGGACTACGGAAAAATGGGAGAAATCGAGGTGCTTTAACAACATTAGAGGCCGAGCTAATGGTTAAACAAATTTATCCAGGAATTTTATAAATATCTCAATAACGACGGTAAATATTTAGTTTCATTATTTAAATCTCAAATAATTAACTAACCATATTTTTTTTATATTTTATAAAATCTTATTTATATGTTCGCATAAAATAAATATATTTTCTACATTGTAAAAATAGAGAGCATTACAATCTCCTCAAACAAGACATCAATGTCTATCGGTATTTTTAAAATATTTGAACATTTTGATATAGATTTATTAATGGCGCCATAAAATTTTTTGCCAATTTTTAACTGTAAAGATGAACGGCAGCATAATTTTGTGAATCTTTGCTAAGATTCTTCTGATTGCAACTGCACCTTAACAGCATGTAGTAGATTTCCTACATGTGAAATCAATGATAAATGTCAGCATTCATTATTAAAAAATTTTTCAAAATGTTAGGACAGCTTTTTAATCTTATTTAAGAAATATTTTTTTAAAGGTTTATAAATTAAGATTCTATCGATGGCGGGAATTAGGAACATATCGCAACCAACATTGTGCTGACTCAATTCTGTATATACACTCTGGTTTTTTATAAATTCACTGAGGCATTATCAGATCAGAAATCTGACATGGAATTTATTGATAATCCCGAATCTGATATATTAACCATTATATGGTAAACTATTTCTTTGGATTTTTCACTATTTAAGGGGAAAAAATTTAATTGTTTTCTTGAAATGTCCTTAATTTTGCTGAAATAGCTGAGGATAATGGGAAATATTTTAATATTTCTCTTATTAGATGCATCTGTTAGAATTGCATATTTATGCCCATATTTCAAATCGCCAAGAATTGACCTCCTGAATTCAGATTTTAAAATATATTTAAACGTGATATGTGATAATTAAGCGCCTATCGCAATAATGTTATACACACACACAAAGTAGATTTCCAATTACGGGACATTCGATAAAATATATTTTTTACATTGTATAACTAAAATCGTTTGTTTTTTTATAAAATTTTATCTTGTTTACATTCTTTTATATATAAAAAAGATAGGTTGGTTTTTTTTATAAATTAATATATTTTAATAATTCAAGATGTTATTTTGAGAAATAGTTACCGACATTGTATTTATATAAACCAATTATAAAAAATAAGTCAATTTAAAATCCCGACTGAAAGAAGGCACTATGCGGGCCGAACAGCAAAATTTTTTTTAGCAATTTTTATATTTCTCCCGCAATTTAAATATTTCTCCCGCAAAATATCAAATTTCTCCCTCAATTTGAAAGTTTTGACCTGGCAACCCTGTATATGAGCATTAAGAAATTATTCCAAGCAATCAGAAGTTTTTTAAGTATTATTATAATATGTTCTATATGTATTTTTCTGAGAATTTTACTTTATATTCAGCTATTAACTAGAAGCCTAAAAAATTGTACATACATTTTGTAAATTCTCTAATACCAGTACCTAAATTTTAAGCATTCAACTGATAACTTTTCTAAAATGAGATAGCTTGGGGAAGGGGGGGGAAGGGTAGCCCGAAGGGGACGATTTTTTTGAAAATTTATAATCATATACAAATTTTCTTTAAAAATAGTATTAAGAAAAGATATTTATTATCAAAATAAGGAATCTTAGAGTTTCAATATTTAAACGGTTTAATTTTACATCCCAGAAATTATTAATTGTCTTCGCAATTCTTTTAAATATGATTTAAAAAATAATTCTTATTGTTTGATAGTTTAAATATTTATTCTGAGCAATTAAGGATATGTTATTTTTCGTACCATTGCAGTTTTTTAATTCTCTGGTGATATAGGAAGAATTGCGAATTGACTTAAGCTTTGGAAATAAGGGATTTATGAGTTTGACTAACTTCATTCAGGCGTAATGTTTAAATTTTTTTATAACTGATTACCTATTATATGGCTGATAAAACAGTAATAGATAATTTGTTAAGTAGTATTCAAGCAATTAATATTAACACAAGTAAAATATTCTATGGAGTTTGAAACGCTAAATTATAAGGTAAGGTTTTGAATATTTAAAAAAAATATTGTTTAACCATCTAAATATTTAAAAGTGGCTTCTAGATACCGATTCTTAGATTAACGAAGTTCCCAGGATATTATGCAATAAACATTTTCTTGTTAAACCCGGTTTTGTAACTGATTCATTGTCATTCCAGTTTCCTATAGACAATGGGGTTACATATTCTGTTTTCAGTTTCTAGATTTGCCCCGTTTCGTTAAATAAAAAGAATCTTTTTCTACCTATTAGTACATTTTGACTAAGAACTAAATTAATCTATATTTTGTTTTATCTGATAACTTCTAATTTAATATGGGATAATAATTTATTGAATATTATTTATATATATAAATCTTATCTTATCTTATCTTATCTTAGTATGTTATTCTATAATCTGCCCAATGACATGAATTATAGGAGGGACCCATTCACTGTTTAATTATGCTAGTATATTTATATACATAGAGGAGTTATAATAAGTCAGAGTGAAACTAAACCAACCATATAAAAACAAATATATTATAAGCGTCGCGCTATTCTTACTGGAAGATATGCGCTGATTATTGCAATGTTATTTGGCAAACAATCATAATATATAAAACAGTTTCTTAATAAAAATCAATGACCTAAATTATTTAACGTTTATGAAATTAACAACAATCATTGTCATTAAAAAATTATTCTCTCATGTTTAGTAAAAAATCTTATTTTTGTGATGAATCTATGGACCAAATAAATGAAGGTAGGATTATAGGAAAAGGGTGCGCTTCGCCGAAATGGGGTAAATTGTTTAAAATATTTTAATTAAATATAATTTTAAAAATATTTAGATAAATTTAAGATTCCATGGAGAGTTATATCTAAAAGATTCGGCGGTGGCAAGCACACCCTTTTAAAGAAAGATGATGCACCGGATGGTGAAAGGTATGTGAAAGATGGAGAGGAAGAATGTGAGGCTAGGTTTCTTGCGAGATATGATTCGCAAGAAGGTTGCAGCAAGGCCTTTGACGGGTAACCGATTAATTTATTTATAGTATAAAGTCGAAGTCTGTAAAGAGCAGATTTTAACCCGTAAACTTGCGTCTATTATTTAAAAAAATAACCCAATGGCCAGCCCGCCAATGGTTTTTTAAAGTTTTCATGTCGGTCTGCCGATTTATTGCAAAAATATGTTTGATCTGTTCTTCCGCCCAATGTTTTAAAATTATTTTATGTTTATTTGATTCCTTATCAAATCTTTGCTAATATATTTATCAATTTATACTTATATGATTCAACATTATGAAATAACAAGAAAATTTTTAGTATATAGAATTCTAATCTACCTTTTTTAACACATGCTAACCCGCTCAATATTAAAATTATTTAGCTAGCCACGCCCGCATGCGGAATGGGCGAGAGTGGGTCGGCGAGCTTAATACCTATTGCAGGTCTCAAGTAAGATATGAAAAACAAGAGATAAAAGATATTTGAAATAAAAATAAGAGATTTGACTCTATTTTCTTTTCAATATAATGTAAATTTTATTTTAGGGAGAAGAAGGCCGCGATTATTGAGACCCTTATTGGAGAAGGGAGAGAGAATGCCAGACCAAAGTGGGGTAAAATTGTTTACCTCTAATTTTAAAAAATAATTTTAAAAATATTTAGTAAAGTTTAAAAAGCCATGGACGGCGATTTTTAATAGGTTCGGCAATGGGCCGAACCTCAAAAAGAAGATAAAACTAGCGAAACAAGGAAAAGATGATATTGACGACGCAATTCTCTCTGGGTGTGTTTCACCGGGAGGATGTAAAAAGGCATATTACAAGTACCTAGTTAAATCAAACAATTATATTATAATGTAATATTTAAGTTTTCAAAACAAGAGAAATGGAAAAACAAAAAAAAATATATAGGAAAAGTGAAAATTAAAATATGAGATTTAACATTATTTTTTTTTTTCAAGTTTAAAACAGTTAAGATGCAAATATAAAATTATTTTTAGGTTAAAAAAAGATGACCAGAAGTTAATTGTGCGGAGGAAACACACCCATGAAAAGACTCAATGTACCCCTCCTAAATTTGGTAAAATTGTTCATATTATTTCATTTTTTAAAATAAAGTTTTAAATATATTTTAGAAAGGTTCCGCCAACCTTGGAAAGCCTTAAAAAATTGGGCCTGCCGTAATAAGGGCCAAGAGAAAATATGGGATATTGATGAAGGTAATAATTGATAAATTTAATTAGATTTCATTGTGATTCTGAATTCCAATTCTGAGATTTTTAGAAATAAATCTAGATTAGTTATTCCTCTGCTTATTTGTAATCTTATTTTATTTTATTTGAAGTATAATATTAAAAATTTTTTTTTTTATAAAACCTGTTTAACTTGGGTAACTCCCTAATTTGAACACTTTTTCAGTCCAACTCAAATTCCTATTAAATAATAATAGAAATACTTTAATAAATTGGGCAATTGTCAAAAGAAATATAGGGAGTTATCTATCATTAATTTAAAAAAAAATTAGTCTATTAAATTTTTTATGTACCATACTTTAAAAAGAATCTTCTAAACCATATAATATATTTAAAAGAGCTGTTTACAATATTCTCATATGAAACGCCCAATCAAATTAAGCATATTATACCAAATAAACATACCAATCACATTTTATTACAGTTGAGCAAAGGCTAAATGTCGGATAATATAATCTATACTACAGGTGAAATATGTTAACATTAAAGCGTTTAATGTAAATTAGTTTCTTTCCAATTTGAACTGCTGTAATTTTAAGAAAAACCCAGAGGCCAAAGTGATTGTTATCGGAAAAAACTTGGTTTACCCGATTTTTGGGCCAGTTAAAAATTGACTTAAAAGGCTTAAAATATAGCAATATCTATCTCATTATATTTTATTTCATTTCATAAATTAATTTTATATTTTTATATATGCAACCAATTAATAATCATTTTATACATTCTTATAATGTATAAGTAGTGACGCGTTACTCGTTCCGTCTGAAAATAGGAATGCGCGTCACTAGCTATAGCGAGTTATTCTTTACTTAAATAGTTAAATATTATATAAAAAAAACTCTATATAAATTAAAATTATATAAAAAATAATATATAATAAGATATATTTTTATATTAAATTTATTAAATTTATTAAATTTTTTATATATAATTTAAAAATAAAAACAAAATATAATATATATTATATGATATTTTTGTAATTATTTTTTATTAATTTTTTTAGATTTTTAAAATTTTGATATGATAAACAAGATTGCTTAGAACAAAACACAGCTTTAACTGTTCTAAACACGTTCAACTCTAGATCTCTTCTCAAACAGGAAATAAGTTCACTTCCTATGCTGATTAATTTCACGATGGCCAATCTGATTTTAATAGAGAATGAATTATTGCCGATAATATATATTCATTTGAAATAAAATAAAATATTAAAAAATAATAAATTTGGAGCTCTTCAACTGTATACTTTTATCTTTGTCTTGTAGAATTGCATTACGCCACTTTTTTTAATAATTTTAATGGTTATCTCTAAAATCAAAAAAGCGGTAGGAACAGTTTTCATAGCCTATAAAATCATATATATCCATACAATATTCATCTTTGAACGTATCACAAATCGTCAAATTTGTTGCCATTCTCTTTAATAAGACTATATTCATTTCACCGATATAGAAAGAGTTCCATCTTGTTATAACCTTTTTAATCAGATATACCATTTTTTTTATTAAAAATGGCTGCACACTTTGGAGGATACCAATGTTTATTCCATATTTAAGGTTAAAATATTTGAGTTGGGACACAATTATTGGTGTAAGAAATGTTTCATATTGGAGCCAAGCCATATTTTACTCATTTTCATCTGAAGTAAATGAACAATTGACTTACAAAATATTCTTTAGAGAATAAATTATAATAAACTTAACAGCAAAAATTTTTGATTAAAAATGAAGGAATTTGGTGGGTGATGTGATTAAAAACTCGGCTTAAATTATTAAAGTAATGAGTACTTTTTGCGTTAACGCTACTAAAAAGAAGAAACGAGTACCGTTACTGAAGAAGGCAACAACGTTACCTTTTTAAATACTACTTTTTGGACGTTACTGCAGCACTAGATATAGATATATCTATAAATTTATATTTTAAACATGATTTTGATGAATTTACATAAATGCAAATGAAATTGGTTGAACACAATCTCTCATACAGATGCTAAGATGTTTTTTTTAAATATAATATATAAAGTTTTGATAAATTTGAGCAATTGTCTGAGTTAAATATTTATTCCGATCATTTAAAAATTTGTGTTTTCCAGAACTTTCTCAGTTTTTTTAATTCTCATATGGATTAAATGGGGCACATAAATATAATTTAAATTAAAATGAACTTAAGATTTTTTTACGAAATAGAACGTTAAAATAAAGCTTTATAATGATTTTTCTTCATTATATTTTTCTCAACAATTCCTTTAATTGTAATTTTACAGTTATCCATCTACTTCTATCTTATTAAAATTTATAGAAAAACTTTCGTTATTGCGTTTTTTTTTCTTTTAAAAATACCACAGGGACATCGAAAGATAATAGAATTATCTCTGTTAGTAATGACGTAACCAATACCGGAGAGGTTGAAAATTGTATAACAACAAAGGTAAATACGATTATGATCATTTAATAATGAAAATTATATTATATTTTAATATTTTAATAAAGCATTGAACAATTTTTTTTTAATTGGGTAATATTTATGTGACTTTATTTATGGGGTAGATGTCTTATTTTTTATTGGGTGAACCAATTATCGATCTAAATAACTTCCATAGCATTAATTTAATAGTTTTTTTATTCATTAAAGAAATTTAACATTTATATAATATTTTTAATTGAAATTATATGTATAATGTATTTATTATCCCAATAAAAGGCCAAGCAATTAAACATTTATGATTTTAATTTAATTTCAACGATTGGAAGAGGTGCCTACGGCATAGTTTTTCTCGCCGAGCAAATAGACACCCGGCAACAATATGCCTTAAAAGTCATAAACAGACAAATTATTGACGGTATCGAGGTTTGTCATTTTCATTATTTATTTTGGATTAAACATTATTTTTTAATTATTTATTAATTTTCTAACTCCAACTTCCATTAACTTTCGCAAAATAAATTTTCAGATCATAATTATTCAATTTGAAATGTATATTATATTTTTATTTTTATTTTTATAGAATAACGATTCTCTAGATATAATACAAACAGAAAGGCGGGTCCTCCAAACCGCCACGGATCATCCGTTTTTAATAAATTTCCACTCATTTATCCAAACTACAACTAGGTATCTTTTATAATTGATTTTTATTCAATTATAGAAATATATATCGTATACAATTAAATATTGTAATAAATTGATATCATTATAATATAAACATGTTTAAAATTTCTATATATGTCTCAGCTACATATTTGTTTTGGAGTATGTAAACGGAGAGAGCATCCGCCTCAAATTAGAGAGACAGGGAAAGCTCTCCGAAGAGCTTGTAAAATTCTATTCAGCTGAAGTAATCCTGGCAGTGATTCATTTACATTGCCAAGGTTTATTTATAATTATGAATTGATTTGCTTATTTTGTAGAATTGATTGTTTTTATTAGCTTATTTTTTTATTTCTATGTAATCAAAATATTATCCTATATATATATTGAAATTATTATAAAGGCATCCTCCATAGGGACATTAAAGTTGATAATATATTAATAGACGGGGAAGGCCATGTTAGGCTAGCAGACTATGGCATGTGCAAGGTAACAATTTATAATTACCACAAATATTATTTAGTCCAAATTAACCTAAAAAAAAGAAAGTAGTTTAATTATATATACATACATCCTTAAATCACAGTCGTTTTGTAGTCTTTAGGTTAAAACAAGTGTTAGATTTATTAAAATGCGAAAATAACCCATTTGGGTTTAGCTAATTACATAACGTAGGGCCTTTTCTTATATGTATTTAATATAATTTAGGAAGGCATTCGGATGGGTATGACAACAAACACCAGTTGTGGGACACCTTTATACGTAGCTCCAGAAATTTTACGGGGTGATGATTATAGTAAGCCTGCTATTTTTTTTAGTTACCCTACTTCCATAAGGGATTATTGATTTATTAGACTAGGGATTTAAAACACTAAATTATAAATCAGGAAACCAGAAAGGTTAGATCTAATAACCGGAAACTAATATGATTCTATAATCTTTACATAACCATAAACAGAAACGCTCCTTCTTACACAGATTAAACAAGCTGTGCTTTGATAGTAATTATACTTGGAGTCGATTCCCTCCCATATTTATTATTTAGATGATAAAATATATAAAAAATCATATATTTTTCGATAATTGAAAGTTAATAAATATGTTGATGAAAATATAAATTATTATAATTTCGAAAGGTTTTGGAGTTGACTGGTGGTCTTTGGGAATAACTATGTACGAGATGCTTACAGGCCTAACACCTTTTGACGGCATGAAGGATAATAGGGAAGAGCTCTTCAAAGGTTCAATTTAATTTTAATTTTTCATTTTTTTGAAAAAATTTAATAATAATATAAATTATTTTTATATTATAAGTTTGAAATTATACTGTAATTATTTATAAAGAAATAAAATAATAATTAATTGAACATGGAAGGGGGTTGGAAATGAAAAAAAACCTCTTTCTCTTAGAAAATTTCCAGGTTCTTTATAATAATAGTTTAGATAATAAATTTAGCACTACCGCCAACCTCCTAACTATCTTTTATAAAATATTTACAATACATAATATATACTTTACAAAACATAATTTAATTATATTAGAAAAAAATTATAAAATGAATCTAAAAAATTTAAGATAATGAAATGTTCAATAAAATTTAGGATAATAAAAAACTTATTAGTGTCCCCAACCCAAATTAGTAAAATCTTGGCTAAGCTTTTTGAATATTAATCTATGACTTTTTTAAAAATTAATAATAAAATATTAAAAATTCTCTAGCTATCCTTGAAGACCCAATTTCTATTCCAGAACACGTATCAGTTAACGCCACCTCAATTCTAACAGGATTCTTAAACAAAGTTCTAAAAAAATTATTTTTTTTATACTACCTATTTATTTGATTCAATTTTTTAAATATTAATTTATTATAGGATCCTAGAGAACGACTGGGGTGGCATCCATCAAATGGATTTTATCAAATTCTATTCCATAAATATTTCCAAACCGTAGAATGGAATTTAGTAATAATATGACTTTTATAAATAAAAAAATTAATTAATTTAAGATATTTTTTAAATCGTATATTGATAGCCATCAAGGTCAGCAATTTAAATTAATTTTTCTGCCTCTTAATTTTTAGGTTCAAAATAAAAAAATCATTCCGCCCTCCTAAAAAGCCTCGTTCAATACAAGAGAAGACCATGGTAATCTTTGTGTATAGTATATAGGTCTATAAAAAATGTATTCAATAAATCTTTACAGCAATATATTTCCCTATTTTCTATAAAAATTTAATTCGTAACGTTTAAAATATTTACCCTACCCCTAGCCAACCCCTCCAAAAAGTCCCCCTGCCCCCCCCCTTCAAAAAAGTAAGTATGCTACTTCAGCCCTCACCCCCACACTCATGTAGACTCTGCAAACGTAAAACGAATATGGATACTGAGGGAGCAAAAGGCCGAAATAAGGAGCTAATATAATCGAATAACCAGTTACTATGAAATGTTCTTAGAATCGGCCATGACTTAAATACGAATTGCTAAAAAATACGAATTGCTAAAAAATACGAATTGCCAGGTAAATTGCGAATTGCCATACCAAACTACGAATTGCCGTATCTAATGATAAAATGCTGTAAAATAGGATGACTAAACTACGAATTGACGTATTTAATGTTAAATAAAATGACTAAACTACGTATGCCGTATATAATGTCAAATTAAAATGATTAAACTACGAATTGCTCTAACTAATGTTAAATTATAATTAAACTACGAATTGCGGTAAATAAGGCCATGACTAAAATACGAAAACTCTAATATGAATAACTAATTTACTTAATTTTATATATTATATATTAGATTTGAATATATAATTCTTATATTACATGTCATTTATTATAAATTTAATATTCGATTAATGTTACATAATAATGTATATTGGATATCACATTTTTAAATATTTTTTTCTAATAGTATTTCCTTTGTTTGTATTCTGGTATAAATAATGATAATAATAAAGCAAATAGAATATTGTTATATATAAAGGAAATAAATTTAATCAGAGGCGTCACTTAGCCTTTTACAAAAGTAAGTTTAAAATGAATTTTTCAAAAAGTGTCTACTTTGGCTCTATTTGTATTTATTAAGGCTTATATAGCTTTACATAAGTCTTCAACCCGCTTTTGTCAGGCCCTCGGATAGTGGCACACCTTATACTATGATTAATTATAATAAATATAAATGTATTCGTTAGTAAAAATAATATATAACTCAAATGCTTTACCCTCTCATAACCAATAAAAAAAAATTCTCAAATAATCGGAATTTAAAAGTTTTTCATTTTATAATTTTCTTTAGTTTGTGTCCAAAACCATTTTAAAAAAAATTCAACACATCACCCAAATAGAAAAAAAATTTCTGACCAATACTCATTCGAACTATTAATTTCATATTTATGCATTTAATGTTCTCTTTTGTTCCTTTGATAATAAATAAAGATAGATTTTTATATTATAGAAATTTAATCTATAATATATATAAAAACCGTGTCACAACAAATTTAGCAATATTTAAAAAATAGGTTCAGATCCGCTTTATATACTCTTAAAAATATCAAAAAGACAAATAAAATGGCTGTCAAAATGGCCTCTATAAGTTTGAAGCGAGAGATTTAAAAAAATATCAAAAATTTAACTTTTACAGATTAGATAGTTTTTTCTATTTAAATATTTAATATTAAATTAATATCATTATAAATTTTAATAAATACCTTAATCAAGTATTTAATATAATTATATAATTAATATTAAAATCATTTAATATGAATTTTAATAAATATATAATTGTAAATATATTAATATAATATTTAAAGTAATTAAATTATTTGATATAAAGAAAAATATATAAATTGTATTAATATAAATTTTAATAAGTATATAATTGTAATATTTAACATAATAATATTAATATAATATGCAAAGTAATTAAATTAATTTAATATAAATAAAAATATATAAATTGTATTAATATAAATTTTAGTTATATATAATTATAAATTTTAGTAAAATGTAATTATAAATTTTAGTAATATATAATTATAATATTAATATGATTTAATTATAATATAATAATTAATATTATTAACATAATTAATATATAATTAAAATAGTATAATTTATATATAATTAAAATAGTATAATTTATATATAATTAAAATAGTATAATTTATATTATATATTTATAATATTATTTACATATTTTATATATTTATAATATTATTTCTCTATTTAATATAATTTATTTATAATTCAATATTATATATAATACAATATGGTTAATATTACTAGTAACTCCATTAATAAAATTTTTATCGTAGAGATTTATACTTATTATTCCTAAAAATATCAGATTTACTCATATTTTAATTTTTTTTCTAGATTTCTAATGATTAATGGGAATATGTTGATCTCTTTTCCTAATAGGAACTCCATTAATAAAATTTTTATCGTAGAGATTTATACTTATTATTCCTATAAATATCAGATTTACTCATATTTTAATTTTTTTTCTAGATTTCTAAAGATTAATGGGTATATGTTGATCTCTTTTCCTACTAGGAACTCCATTAATAAAATTTTTATCGTAGAGAATTATACTTATTATTCCTATAAATATCAGATTTATTCATATTTTAATTTTTTTTAGATTTCTAATGATTAATGGGAATATGTTGATCTCTTTTCCTACTAGGAACTCCATTAATGAAATTTTTATCGTAGATTTATACTTATTATTCCTATAAATATCAGATTTACTCATATTTTAATTTTTTTATAGATTTCTAATGATTAATGGGAATATGTTAATCTCTTTTCCTATTAGGAACTCCATTAATAATATTTTTATCTTAGAGATTTATACTTATTATTCCTATAAATATCTAATTACTTAGATATTACTTAAATATATTGTTAAACGGCTCGATTTGAGCCGAGTTTATAAAAACGGCTCAAATCAAGCCGTTTAACAACATTACTTAAAAATAATATGATATAATGATAAGCATGCATGTTGTAAGAATAATGAAATATAAGCCTAACAATTTTATTATTACTTTTGCAATTATATCAATAGTATATATAATATTATTATTGTGATTGATAAATATAAAATAATGATTGCAATAGTATAATAATGCTATATAAAATAATGATTGCAATAGTATAATAATGCTATATAAAATAATGATTGCAATTATTTATTGCGACTATATATTGATGGCGGTATATAAAAATTTGTATATATTGCAATTGTATATTAATTGTATATAAAATAATGATTGCAATTTATATATCAATAGTATATAAAATTATATTTATTGCGACTATATATTGATGGCGGTATATAAAATAATGATTGCATGCATATCAATAGTATATAAAATTATATTTATTAAGAAGGTATATTGATGGTGGTCTATAAAAATTTGTATATATTGCAATTGTATATTAATTGTATATAAAATGATGATTACAATTTGTATATCAATAGGTGGTATATAAAATAATGATTCAATTTTATTTCAATAGATATATAAAATTATGGTAATTACTTTTTGTATATAAATATTATATAAAACGATGTAAATTTGGTATAAAAAGTATTAAAAATGAAAAAGCACGATCATATTGATAAAAGTAATGTGAATTTTTAGCTAAAAACCAAATATTAATAAATATCTATGTATGCATAACATAATATAAAATATATGGTAAATTGAAATAGAATCGTTTATCATGCATTAAACCTCCCCACATATTTGTGCACTACTCGCTATGAATATATTTTACCAAATTTTTAAAATATAAGTGATGATGATGATAGAACCATACATTAGAAAATTGATACATAACACTTCTAACCCAGCTACAATTTATATACTTGGATAAATAGTAATATTATCTATTGACATCATCAAAATATGGAATATGTGGATCTTGTATTAATTCAATTGATTAATCATTAACAAGATCAACTCTTTTAGAATATATATATTTAGATATATTTTCTAAATATTGAATGGGATTAAAACAGTACCCGCAGTAGAGAAATATATTTCCCTTATCCTGCTATCAATTATTGTATATTTTTTTATCCTTTCAGAAAATTTTACCCATAATCTAACTGAATTAATAAAAGATCCATGTCTTGTTCAATATTTTTTATGATGTCAACAAATAGATAAACTTTAGGGTGAGTATAAGGAATGTATTTCTTTAACGCACGATGAAACCCTTCAACGTGGTTATTGGTCCTCACACAATGTGTTACACATTTGATATTTGAATTTTGCATTACTATTTATCCAAGTATTTTCAAAATAATTTAAAAAATCAAAAATAGAAACCAAGTTAAAGGTATGTGCCTGATGATTAAGTTCGTTCATTACAGATGGCAAATCCCTTTCTAATAAAAATGGAATAGCCATTATAATTCGAAAAAACCTCTTAACATCAGGATCACGCCTATATAGTCGGGTTAAACGGTATTCCCCAATTCGTCTTACAATACACTGACAGAAGTGAAAGTAACACCCTTTGACGACAATAGTTTGGAAAACCGTTTTACGTGCTAAATATACACCAATTTCAAAATCTATAGTTGCAATTTTTGGGGGAAAATATTAAACCTATAGAAAGGCAATAATTTTTTAATGAAAAAAACATTTTAATATATGTGTCCTTATATTTATTGGGTTATAAAATATAAGCACACACAATTAAAGTATTATTTATAATTATATTTATTGTATAAAATTGCTTAAAAAGTTTCGGGGCAACATTGAAAGTGCCATCCATATAAATACTATTGGCACTACAAAGTCGAGTTAGGAAAGAATGGGTAGAAAAAAATAAATAATTTTTTATCATCATCACTATATATTAAAAAAATTTGGCCTGTTTCTGTGCATTTATGTTCAGCGAGTAATGCTATATCAAAATTTATATGAGGCAAGGATGGCCTTGTTGTTTGAATAACACGGGCCATAATTGACTTTACTGATAAATATGTGAGTAGGACTTTTGGATTTTGCATGGCAAAAGAATCTAATTTCCTCTTACGCATAACTTTTTTTATAAATTTTGTGCATACTTAAATATTTATTTAAAAGCATTTGGCTTTTTAATTCATTTGTTGTAATTAAAAGTTCATAATACTCTTTATCATATTATGATCATGAACCCTAGTCATTACAAAAAAAGTATTTAAATATTTCTTCCATTACAATCTTTTTTTCTACCTATTTAATAGTTTTCTCTATTTTGAGAATATAAAAAATTATTAGAAAATAATAGATTTTTATTAAATTTAGATTTTATAAATATATTGAGCATTTTGCTTTAAAAAATTTAATTGATTTATTTGATAATCTTCAATGGCTATAAAAGATAATTTCCAGATAAAATTATAGCATATTTTAAATTTACCTTGATTGGTTGCAGTTCCTGAATGGATTATATCAAGTGATGCAAGATTAAAATTTCCAGATTAACATGTAGCATATTTTAAATTTACTTTAATTGGTTGGAGCTGAATAAATTAAATCAATTGATGCTAAGAAGAAAATTTTCAGGTTAACAAGATAGCATATTAGTAATATATTCTATAATTTACCTTGGTTGGTTATTGTCTCAAATGATGCTGGAAAAATATTTCAGATAAAATTTTAAAATAAAATAATGTTAGAACTATAATTAAATTTACTTTGAGTGGCTACTTCTACATCATGTACACATATGGTATCAGCTATAAAATTGATTTTTATAAATTATAAAATTAGAATTATATTTTACTTTGTGTGGCTACTTCTACACCATGTACACATATGGGATCAGCTATAAAATTGATTTTTATAAATTATAAAATTAGAATTATATTTTACTTTGTGTGGCTACTTCTACACCATGTACACATATGGGATCAGCTATAAAATTGATTTTTATAAATTATTAAATTAGAATTATATTTTACTTTGTGTGTCTATAGATACAACTTGTAAGCTTAGTCTTGTTATTTCTAAGCAGGCAGGAGCTATAATATGATTATTTTATATAAGATTTGTTAAACAGTATTAACTTTAAAAAATTGTTTTTTTTTACATCCTTAAGCCATTTATGGCGTAACTTAAAATATTTCAAATGTAATAAAAATCAGTTTCTTTCTTTTTTGTTAAAAACAACTTTTATATTTTAAATCAATTTGTTTATAAACTAATATTAAACTTTAAATTTTATAAAAACAACTTTTATATTTTAAATCAATTTGTTTATAAACTAATATTAAATTTTATATTTTATAAATCAATTTACTTAATAAAACTAATGTTCAATTTTTTATTTTTAACTTTTAAAAAAAGATCAATTTATTATAAATTACATTAAATTAAATTGTCAATATATATAGGAAACTATTTTGAATATGTGATCAATATATTTTTTAATTTAAATATCAATAAATTTACGTAATATACGTCTATAACATTTATTTTCTGCCTTTGATATCTGCAACCTTTTCAAGATTAATAAAAAATATACCAGTGCACAGAGTTGGGCAGTACCGCGAATACTTGTATCTAAAATACAAGATACAAGATCCTTTTGTATCTTGTACTCAGTATTTTATTAACAATTTTTAATAAGATACTAGTATCTGTATCTAAGATCCTTTAATTTGTTATGAATCTTGTATCTTTTTCATTTTCTTTAAAAAGATACAGATACAGATTCTTTTCAATATTCATGTTTAGAACATTTACATATCACACGATGTTACTTTATTTTCTTCGTGAAATCTTGTATTATTTTTTTTATTTTTTCCTGCTATATTTTCAATATATTGATAACCATAATTAGTTAGAAATTTTACAGATCACAAAGATAGATAGATTAAAAATAACAACACCAAAATTAAATAAGCAAAGGTTATATTTTATATGTAATATTTTTTAATTTGTAGAATGTTTAACATTTATAGTAGTGAAGATGAAATTATGCAGATAGGTTCTCCTGAGTCAAATCTGAATCTTGAAATTCTAGATGAAAAATTTTATATAGTAATTCATGTGAAAAAGGACATGGTGCAACGAATATTAAAATTACACAAGTAAAAAAGTTACTAAAGATTGAACATACTCCTCACAAACTTTGTTAAACATATTAAAGTATAATATACATTTTTATTTTATAATTATTAATATAATAATACCTATAATACTTAAGTCCTTCTTAGATAATTGTTATTAAAATTTTTTATAGAAGATAGTTGATTATCAAATTAAAATCATTTTGGGTATATATTTTTAGGGGTATACCGATACTACTTTTTAGAGGTCGATCCGATCCGATATTCCAGATATAAAATTGATATCTGCCGATTACCGATCAGGTATCATATCTATTAGTGTATTCTGTAAAGATAACAATGGTTTTAATTTTTAATATACTTTTTATTAGTATAACATCTATAATTTAACCATACCATAACTTATGTTATATAAATATATTTATAATGATCAGTTATTGTTTATATTCAATTCAATTACAATTCTAAAAGTATATAAAATATTATTATTGTAAAATCACTTTTATATAATAAGTAATAACATTAATCTATATACATATTAAGTAATAAACAATTATATTATGAAATTTGAAATAAATATTTAAAATAATATTTAACATTAATATAGTAGCGTCTACATGAGCGGGAGGGGTAGAAACAGTTTGCATCCTATTTTTTTGAGGGGGTAGGGGTAGGCGGCTTTAATGGGGGTAGGATAAATTTTTGGGGGGATTATCTATTGAATTTTGAGATGAAATAGGACAAAATTTATTGCTATAAAAATACTTTTATTATAGAACTATTATAATACAATTCATCGATTAAATCTATATATTGCAAACAATTATACCTATTGTTTTCCAAATAAAACTTTCTGCTATTTAAATTACATTTAAAAGGTTTAGATATTTCAGCAAGCTCATAAAGTTATAATAATACATTCATTGTGTGGAGGATTTAATTGAATTTATTATCTAAAAAATAAATCCTTTAGAAAATTTTTTTAGGGGGGGGGGGTAGGCAAAAGTTCTTAAATGGGGTTTGCATACAGTGAAAATCCTGTCATGTAGACGCTGAATATAGGGAAGATTTCTTTTTAGAAATAGCAATATTTCAGATTTATCAGAGGTCAGCTTGCGGCAATAGTAACTGTCAATATCACCAATTTCACTAAAAACAGATTCTGTAGTAATTATCGCACACTTTTATAAACAGATTGCGCAAAAATATAACAATATGATAGAATGTTTATTAATTAATTATTATTACTAAAAAAATATACATAAAAATGGAATTCGATTTTATTTATAAAAATAAATGATTTTAGATATAACTATTTTTTTCCATTTTATAACATTTTATTTTTGTTAAAGAAGCCATTTTTATATCGGATCAAATTTTATAATATTGACCGATAACCGATATTTTAAAATGGGTGAAATATCGGCCCGATCCGATCCGATAAAAAATATTGGCACATCCCTAATATATTTTATATTTAATTATTTTAGCAAGTTCTTATTAAAGGAAATATTTAAGCTACAATTGATATATAATATTAGATAATTTTAAAAGGCTCTTAATAAAATAATTATAATAAGGTAGAATTTAACTTTATTAGTTACTTTTATTTATTTATGATATAAATAAAATTACATTACAGTATTTATTTACGAAATTTAATTAATTTAAAATGCATTAAAGAAAATTGCTATGTAATTAACAATTAAATAATATAATGTTGTACATTATTTTCATATTTTTTATATATAATTAATAATTTTGCAAGAAATATATAAAAAAAATATGAAAAAAGATTTAAATGATATTTATATACTATATATGATATTACAAATGCAAGAATTAATAAGTACTATTAGAAAATAAAACTAATTAAAAAATACATAAATATCACAAACAAGTAATGATAAATACTTATTAAAGATAATGAATAAAATAAAACTAGTATACTTTTATAGAGATGCTATTTATCCATACACTCCGAATATATTTAAAACAACACAGAAAATAACCTGCAAATTCTAATGAATCATTTGATTTAAATTTTTTTCTTATTTGCACATTTTTAACTCCCATTAAATATACTACTCTCCCTTCCCTGTTTAAGCTATTGATGGGCAAAAATTTAATCCCTGGTTATTATGATTAATTCATCAATAAATATTTTATTAATTATTGCAAATATTCATTCTTATATGTGTATGCTATGTTCTTCACAAATAAATAATAAAAACTGTATTTTATAAACTATAATTTAATTGGTAATGATAATTTAAAAGTATCTTGTATTTAAGATACTCTAATTTAGTAAAAGATACAAGTATCTTTTATCTTGTATCTTTTTTATATTTTGAAAACAGATACTAGTATCTGTATCTAAGATTCATTTTTTTTAAAAGAATCTGTATCTGTATCTAGATTCTTTTTCCGGAGGACCTGGTGCATTGTTATGATATATGAAAGATATTGTTTTAAATATCCCTTTACCCGCACATGATGGCTTGGTGCATTTGTAATACATAGTAGTATTATAACTATCATATTTTCTAAAATGTGAAGAAATCTTAAGGTAATATTTATATATAAAGTATATATTGAGCAATCAGCTTGTTAAATTGAGCATACAAATTTTAAGTAAGCAAAATTTAGCAAAAAGTCACGCGATAAAACATCAAAACACAAAAAAAAAGTATATCATGCGGTGCGGCACGATACGTAAAAAATATACTCCGATAAAAATCATCATGCAAAGCAAATTTTAAGCCAATTGCAATTTCTATCATGTGATTATATATGATATTTTTAATGATGATTAATAATACCCAAGATACCTCGCCAGAAGACGTTAAAGATATTGGTAATGATTTTATTTTAATAAATAATTCACATTGTATACTCAAGGTCAAGATACCTCAGATTTAGATATATTACCAATAAATGAAAATCTATCAAATTAAAAAATATAGCCAACCCATTTCATCAGTGGGTTAATATTTAGATTTAGACAGTCTCAATGTTTAAATTATTAAATATATTTTGTTACAATAAAGATCTTATTAAAGAATGCATATTATGAGTAATTGCAAACTTAATCAAACTCTGGAGAATAATTTACCAAAGAGTGCTTTGTACCTTCCATTATTAAAACCTTTAAGGAAGGATCCAATCTCATATTTAATATTTTAATGCAATTATATCTCTTATAATTAGGTAATTTTTATGCATAATTTAATATTTTCATTTATATGATTACCGGATGAATCATCAAGTTTGACAAAGAATTAGAATTTTCTCCTTAATTGATGGATGAATTAAATTAAAAACATGCTTTATAAATTATCACTTCCATGAAATCATAGGTCTATAATTTTGCAACTTGGTAAATCATGGAAGCAGATTTTGGTTTTGTTATTAATCAATATTCGCGTTTCCTATATCTTTTTATTTTTTTTGCAATTTAATAACAATGTTTTAAATTTAATTCTAAGTAATAAATCATTTATTTAGAGGGGTGGTGGTTTTTTTAAATTTAAATTAGGATGAATATATTTTCACTGATTTTTGTAAGGCATAATACTTTAATATGTATTCATGAATTTCATATAAATACCAGGAGCTAACTAGTAGAATGATGGGTAAATCAGATATTTCTTCTACATTTGATGATAAATAATTTTAAAAAATTTTCCCAATAATATAAAATGGCAAAAAAAATGTATATATTTGAGAAATTTAATTCTTATAAACCACTTACATTGGACCTATTTTTCTGGATCCAAGGAAAAAATAAATTGG